ATAGCATTAAGTTTTCATTGCATATTTCATGGTTTTTTTTTTATCTGCTTTTTTATTTGATTGTTTTCCATTATAATATGTCAGTTACGCGTACAGAAAATAACTAAACTTTCATGTGATTATATATTATATTTTATGTATAGATATATATGTGTTATGTATAGATATTAAAAATAAAAATAAATGTTTTTATAAATTTGTTTGTATTTTATGTATTATCATGAATAAGTTAAGCGTTTTTCGTGTAATATTAAAAAAGGTTTGTTACCTTAAATTTAACTTTAAAAAATGTGTTTGATTCTAATATTAGAATATAATACATGTATAGAAATGTCATTTTTATCTATGAAATCACAAGGAATTCATAACATATTATTCAATATATAAATTACTTATTAAAAATCGTTAAATTTGTAAAAATATAAAAATATCAGTATAAATTAATTATAAAGTATAAAATATAAAAGTTCTTGACTAGAGTATAACATTTAAAAATATTTAACTTTTTCACTGCTGCAGACGTACTATTACGTCCAAAACATTTATACCATTCACTTTTACAGACGTACTATTATGTTTCTTTGTGTAGAAAATAAAATAAACTAAGTGCCACCATTGTGATAACACCGGAAGTTAAAGAAAAAAATAACGAATTTAATGATGTATATATAATCTACACTTCTAATTTCTTATCGGTAGGTATGAAACACATTTTAAATTATTATTGTTTACTTTGGTGACCAAATTGGCGCAATCGTACATTCACGTGCGTATAATATTCGGATAAATTGCACTGTATGACCATAACATTTAATTTTTCGCAATAATATACAAAATATGAAACATAAAAAATACTTTGTATTATTGTATTATAATAATATTACCGTTTGCTGGTAACCATACAGTTTTAGGAAACCTGATCTCGCAGAACTTTAAGCTTAAGTTTAAACTTAACTTAAATTTTAACTTGAGTCATTTTTGGTCTAAAACGTTTTATAACTTAAGACTTTTGTTTTATCATTAAAACATAATCTATTAATATTAAAAAATGAAAAATATTTTATTTTTTGTAGCACAGCTAAGTTGCAGAACATAAATATTGTAGCAGTGAAAAGGTTAATACCCGTTATCATCTGCAGTCTCCAGCAGAATATGGAAAATTCAATAAGAGTAGGTAGTATTATTATGTAAATAATATAATAAAAACATTTAATAATGTGTATCAATTAATATGGCCTATTGTTTATTACCCATAAGATGCAAATACACAATCACTAATACCTAGTAGGTACCTATACAATGTAAACGATACCCAAATCTCCTTTTTTTTGGCACACCTTTCGTAATCACTAACGACTATAGTAATTATGTTCTAAAACGTTTGATTAAATATTTCTTATTTCATATTTCTACGAATGAATAGTGGACTGTCGTCGAATGTCGGCGTTTCTGTCTATTTTAGTACTTTATTATGATCATAATAATTGTATTATTATTCAATCGTGACACTACACGCTATTTATTTATACTTTGCTATTAATTAACTTGTTTTCATTATAACTATGAAGGAGAAAATTAGACCATCTATTTTTAATACATTTTCGAGTTTCAACATCCTCTTTAATCAATAGTTTCGTTTGAAAATTTTTGAATACTACTCGGTAATGTAAAGCTGTATTACAGTTTATAAACTATAATCAATTTTTAATATATTGTTAATTATATAGGTGCTTTACTTCTTTTAATTCTTTGAAAAATAGTTCGTATAGACTGGATTGCAGAAAATTAATATGATTATAATATTTTCCATTATGCGTACTACAAAATATTCATGGAAAATATAAATTAAATAATAAACAATACTGTAAACGTCAAACAAATAGTATAATTTCTTTAGTAAATTTACTTACAAATAAAAAATTATAACCAAAATAAACCGAAAGAAATCAAACTTTAAAAATTAGGTTCCGGTTTTGGTAAGGTTTTTTTTAACATTTGAAAAAAATGGTTTCGGTTGAGGTTCCGGTTTACAATTAACACAATGTTCCCGGTTCTATAACCGGTTATTTTCAATCCGGTTACAGCTCCTGAATGTAAGATCTATGGATTCGTTCATACACATTATACTTGTATAATAGGTAGTCTATAAAATTTATATTATATTTGCTCACATTAATTTATCAATTAATTAGCTTACAGCAATCTTTATATCAAACAGTTTTATTACTAAATTGTTAGTAATTTTTTTCTTAAAAAATAGGAAACAAACTTTGAGTGTGCTGTGAAGTTGATTTATCGTTGGCATTTTTATTTTTTTTGTTTTTTTCTGCGATTTTCGCCTGGTCCTATGGTCGATCTTTAAACTTCAGCGGATAATACTTTGTGTACCTACACAACTACGGTACGATTTCAGTTTCGATTATCGATCGAATACGTCGCGCATACTCAACGGGACAATTTTTCCTATCTTGAAAATTATGGGAGACTATGGAATTGGCTTTAACTATTCGTGTGGAATACGGTATAGGTACCTTCATATCTACGCTATACATAATATTACACGCGATAGAGCAAAGGTTATACCCAATACACATATTATACGAGTACATCACAGACAGTAGGATATCAGAAACATAAACTTTGCGCAGTATAATTATCTCGACGATCATTTTTTGATCCATGGTATGAGTGATGTTAAGCCTTTGAGGCTAGTGTAGTTTACATAGTCAAATATCGACATATTTTCGGTTCAAAACGTATTCGTGTTATCAATACCCGCTTAAACATAACCGAGAAGGACTCCACTCAGACGTTTGCTAATAAACAATATCCCTATATTATCTGGATAATTAATCTACATAGGTTAATTCTCTTCTTGAATAGCTTAGCGGTTCGTTAAGGATCTGCGTCGCCACCGGTAAGCCTCTTCGTCTTTCTCCGTCCGATGTCCAATCTCGCTGTTGCACTTTCCTGTTTATCACAGCCTCACATCCTTTTCCGTATGGTTTCTTTAGCGGGTCCGAACGGTCGTCTCTAGTTCATTTTCTAGGTCAAAACACCCTTCAGTGCTCCCACATCCGCAATCACATTTCTTAACACTCTCTCTAATCATTGCTATCGTTTACGTCTAGGACATGCGACAATATTCGGCTCTCCGTACTGGTTCCTCGTTACGTCTAATTTCGTTTACACCTAGATTACCTTTACCGGATCAAATAGTGTGTTTTTTAGGATTTTTCTAACCGATCAGTAAGTTTTCTACTGCTTTTCTTTATCGTGGACTGTGTTTCACGAGCATACATAGGTTTCTATTTGTCAACGATTACTTGTGGTTAAAGTACTTTCTTTATTTTAGTACTTCAGCTATCTAAATTTTTGATTTTTGTTACTCGCTAAGATTGAATTCGTCGCATATTCATAATTTATTTTATACAAAAGACAATATTGTTTACCAATCAAAAGAGTGCGGTAAAAATATTTTATGAATGATTTTTGTACAATATTCAATAACTGCACGACAATACGAAAACATATTGAATGAAAATAAATGGCTACGAGCTGAACTAATTGGGCGTTGCTTGAGATCGAAAAGGTAGAAAATTAAAAAGCTGTTATGATTATTATTTATTTGTTTTTAATAATTTTCATACTTTTATATATATATATATATTTATTATTCTTCGATTTAAATTTATCTTTGATGGTTTATTTGATATTAATACTAAATATCTAATATTATTATTTATTACTGTAGCAAGGGAAAAAATATTAAATTACAAAAACATTTAAAAACAACCAAAAGTAAAACTGGTACATATATTATTCATACATAGTAATGATGATTTTATTAAATCTACATTATAATTTGGAATGAAATGGCTTGATATTATTTGTTTAATAGTTGATAGTTACTATACAAATAATATATAATACCTATTTAATAATGAAAAATGGGTAAAAACCCTTTTGTGAAACGATGAATATGAAAAAACAATATTAGGTACCCAGTAACTAATCGATAAAAGTTATATTTTATATGATACTAAGAATTATATAAGAATTCAAAAAAATAAACTTATGAAAACAATAAAAAAAAAAATAATTAGGTTATAAATATATTGTAATCCAAAAAAAAATTTCGTTTATTAAAGATCTACGACTATATTATACGGTGGGACAAACTAAATATTATTTTTTAATTTGATTATTTTTATGTCTGATCTTTTAAATTATCAAAACATTAAAATATTTATGTAATCGATTAAAATTTTATATTATTGTATTATGTAAACGTTAAAAAACAATAAATATTTTTTTGCACTAGAAAAAAAAAACTTTAGGTAGTATGAAAAAAAATAATAGTTGGACTTCCATATTTTCCATATTTATAATTTTAAAAAAAATAATTTATAAATGCATTTTAATAGTTTTTAAAAATATCAACACTTCAAATAAAAATTACAATATAACAGTTTATGTTTGAAGTAATATTTATTTTGTTTAATATATTTATTTTATTGGTTATTATATAAAAAGGCATACAAAGCATGTAAGAAATAAGTTGTCCATTATATCATATTATATAATTATTAATATGCAATATAATATTCAAGTGAGTTTATAAATGATTATCATTCATTTTATTAAGTGATTCATTACAATACAATATAATTGGGTATAAACCGAGAAGATAATAAAATGTCATAAAACAAGTTCTTTCGTTACAAAAAAAAAAAAAAACACCGGCTCTCGCGTATTATTATTAATTTTACATGAAAAGGAAAAACACTAATTATAATACTTCCTATACAAAATAATATATTGATATGATTGAAAGCTTTCTACAAATGATGGATAAATTATAAAAAATTTATTTTTTTTTATTAATAAAAAACGTGCATTATATCTGTGTTGTCTGTTTTTGGCGTACCGCACGCAATGATTAAAACGTAACAAACTGTACTACATTATGACATTTAAATTCGTACGCTGCGAATTACCTGTAATTTTTCAGCTAACCAATTATGTCGTGCCGGATATTCTTGCGTTGTTCGAAATGCGTCGTATTAGATTTTTCGAAAGTGAAAACAACAAAAAAAAAAATTTTAGTAATAACGGTACTGATGATGGTAACACTAATAACAGTTTTGTGCTGCAGGTGGTAGATAAAATCAACAAGTAGACGCGGACGCTGTTGTCGTTTCACTAGAGTTACGTTCCGTCCTGCATTGCCGAGAGTGGCGTAGCCGGTGGCGCGAGCCAAAAACGCCTGTTGTTCCCGAAAATACCTTTTTTGTTGCATTAGTGTATAAAACGCATGACGACTTTTCAAGGGGATGATAAGCGTCTGGTACCGTTACCGTTGAAATTGGATTTTGATTCCGCAATTGCTTTTGACAGAATATTGTCCGATTCCCTGACGTTTATTGTGTTTATATAATAACGATATACTCACGTGCGTTCTTAAACGCAAATTTGAACCGAGACCAAAAGAACCGAAGATAAATAAAAATAGGAGAAAAAATAAAAAACAATAAGACTAATTTAATTTTCCGAGTGTAAGTATATCAGATGTACGTGTGTATTTTTAAATTGCATCTAAATTACATGTATACGAGTTACGGAATCGACTGCAAACACTGCGTGCATCATGTATAAGCATAAATACGTAGTGACGTATTAAACTCATATCCGCGCAAAAGTCGTACGTTTTCATTGCGTTCGGTTTTGTTTTTGTTGGATGAAACAAAATAAAATATTCTTTCAGTGGGAAATAATGATATCCTGTGACAAAAAAAAAAAAAAAAAAAATAATTATATCACACGATCCACACACTTTGCACGTATTAAAGCGGAATGTCATTTAATTCGACGGGTAAGCTACTGTTTTGGTTAGGTCACTCGGGTGGGTGTGTCAGAGGTGTGTTGTCGCTTTAAATTTAAAAACGGTGATCAATATTGCATGATATAAAAAATTTAAATTTAAAAATAAACCACACTCGTTTTCTGGTGAATAATCATGACGCGTTAAAAACTTATGAGGTTCGTAAAAAAAAAAAGAAAATAAAAATACAATTTATAATTGGACGGTGGATTTACGAGATTTTTTTCATCTCGTACTTGTTTTCGTAACATTCCGAAACACTGTGGCCGAATTTTGTGCCTACCTCGGACTTCGACTGTTCTACGTACACATACGGCCGAATGGCATTAAATCTGATTGCGCTCAAAATACCGTAAAATTACTTAATAGGAATTCAACTGAAAGATAGTGCGTGCAATTAAAAAAAGATCGAGTTTAGCATCGAATCGATTAAACGCTTTAAAAACTTTCCCCCGGTACCATTCTTCGTTTTATCATGGCGATCAATTTCACAGTTCGTCTCAAACCTGTAGTTAAAAAAATATTATTAATATGTCTAAATTTGTCAGCTGGGACACATTTATTAGACACACATAGATAATATTTTATCTATTTAATCTGCGGAATAAACTGTAGTACCCAATTTATATTGTGTTTTTCGTAACAAAACAAAAAAATATATATATTTAAACATTTTTTTTTTTTTTGCAGCGAAGATTACATATTATGTACATATACGTTTACTACACGTCAGGTTTATCGACGCAATTAAATCAAAAGGATTTTCAAGCAGCTTAATGCGCCCAACTCGATAGCTGAACCGACCAAAGTTAAATAAAACAAGTCAAAAGAGATCAAGCAGATTAAACCTAACATTATCCACGGCTCATTAATAGTTATATTATTTTCGTTATGTTTCAGGTTGATGAATATTAGCCGTTATTTCGGTATCGATTTGTGGTGTCATTATACACTTGAGATAAATTGTACTTGAATCGCCAACAATTTTCGTATTCACAAGATTCATAAAAAAAAATTTTAATAAACAACAGTCGGTTGGAAAATGAATAAACAGAGGAGTTTTCGTATTTTAAAACGTTTAATATTTAACAAAACTATTTTATTTCAAGATGCTTGTACATTTTAGTTCTATTTTTGTTTTAATTATTTCACAATTAAAATATACCTGAATAGTTTGTATTAAAAATTGATTCTTCATTCGTTATAAAATTAATTAATTAAGAACCTTTGAAATATTGAATATTGAACTTTAACTATCATATTAATTTATACCAAATATTATCGTTTGTTTTGGAAATTATTATTTTCCATACTAAGTAGCTTATTTTGTATTATGTCAAACTATTGTTAAGTTGTGTTTAACTTATAAGCAGCTCAATATTTTATTTATTACGAACACGAGAAAATTATTATTTATTATCTAAAAGAAATTAAAAACTTTTTCATACAAAATCTAAAAAATGAAATACCAAAAGAAATATTTTCAATCACTCTATTGTTGATTACAATCTATCCGTGTCAATTTTTCTATGAAAAGCTTAAAAGGTATATAGTATTCGTATTACTTGAAATTAGAAAATATTTTTAGTTATTATTATTCGAGAGAAATTGAAAAAAAAAGAATTTGATCTTTTTTTTTGTACTAGGCTTACACAGGAATTATGAAACACATAACAGATTTAAGTTTGATGGATTTATGTATCCCATTTTAGTGAAACTAAAGTTTGAAGATAATATTCATATTTTTCACACATCCACTTAAAAAGTACAATAAACATCTAAAACGAAGTTTACAGTATGTGAGTTTATATTGTTCAAAGCCTTTTAGTACATACTTTTCAATTTTGTTATTTCTTAGAACAATTATTATTATATACGCATAGGTGAGATTATCAAGAATTTATAGATTTAGTACGATACACGATGGTATTATTATAGGTTTATTAATTTTTTCAATAAAGGTTTAGGCCTATAATAGAGAAATATTTTGATATATACAATAAATTAATATTATCATAAATAGAAAAGTAATAATTAGGTAACTGATAATAGTAATAATAATTAAAACGAAATTGAAGAAAAGTCAAAATAATGAGTCTTAAAGGTAATTAAAGTTATTGTCTCTAATTGTATGACGAATCAGACGATAAACTAAGGAGTTCAAGTATAGTAAGAAGAGAAAAAACGGAATCAAGAAAAAAGAAGTGATCCCAGTGTGTGGAGGAATTTTAAAATTGCTTGTGAAAGGAACACAGGACAATCAATTTAATTAGATAAAAGTTTGAAAAAAAAAATGATAAACTAACAGAACTGCTTCTTGTATCAACAACGTGATCAACGTGATATTATATTATATACATATAAAATAATCATGTAATATACAGTATGTATAAGGAATCTTTTTTATGTATGCGACAAGAGATAGAAATTTGCATCTTTCGATCGCATAGGGGAATCAATGATTGATAATTGAGGGCACCAAAGAACTATTTATAAGCTTTATTGCCGTTAAATATGAAAATAATACATTGATAGCTGCATAAATTATTTGGCAATTAAATTCATTGTTCTGTAACATAATATATAAATTATAGGAATCATAATGCTGGCGACAGGGGTTGACAGTATAATCGGGGCACCGTCTCGTGTGGATAATTGCATTACACAACAGTTATCGGTGAACATCCATACGAGAGACTTCGAGTAGCTACGGGACAGCAATCATTTGTAAGTGTGTACGAATTATTAGTACATTATATTTTACATAACCTACAATTAGTGTTACTTCTTTAAAATTTTGATACCTATCTGCCCCTGATATTGTAATTATATTATCTATGGAACATATACAGCGAGAATGGCTATTATTAAGGCTGCATCCGAATTGGGTTCCGAATTATTTTAGGTACTACACTAGTTGGGTCCTGAATTATTTTAGGTTTACACTAGTTCCTGAATATTTTTTAGTAAGTACTACATTATACTAACATTTTCCTTTCCATTTTAACAGACTTAGGACTGTCTATGATCTATTTAGACCACAAGAACATATTTTTTTTAAAATTCTATAATTTTTATAATAATATAAAATATTATTAAGTAATAAAAATATTAAAAAATAAAATATTAGTATTATTAAGTAATACAAATATTATACAATAATATTAATACAATTTTAATATTTTTAATATTTTTACTAACACAATTCTAATAATTTATATTTTAATGGAAAAGAAACCATAAAAAAACATTTTTAACCATACCCGTGGTCTAAATAGATCATAGACAGCCCTAAAGTCTGTTAAAATGGGAAGGAAAATGTTAGTGTAATGTAGTACTTATTATTTTGGTAATAATTATACAACAAACGTTGCGGGTATCGGAAGAATAGCGCACTCGATGCACCGATTATAATTCGAATTAACCATAATAATAATAATAATAATAAAATAATACAATATTTTTTCAAACCCTCTGCCGTACCGTGAATCGCTCGAACGATAAATTATTCTAGTTGAAACGACTACATGAATAATACGCATGGAAAGAACACGGCCGTGGTACGCACGCGGTCCTTACGCAACTCAGACGGACGAGAGAAGAAGAAAAACATTTCGGTCGGTAAGTGCGTGATACAATATCCATTATAATATATATGTTTAGAAAACCATGCGGTGGTCTCTATTTGGTCAGTTGACATTTTTATTACTATCGGACACGCAGAAGGGTTGTGACGCGGTACATTCATGCTTTCTGAGAACCAACAGATGTGCGGAGGGTGTCGTGCTTTCGCCCCGCGTTTCCCTTTATTATCTTGTTTAACACCCGAGTATTATTATATTACAGTCCCGTGCACGGGCGATTGTATATATCATCAAATGCATTTATTATTATTTAAGTACCTATTTTTTTTTTTTTATTTATTTTTTTTTTTATTAGTATTTATTTTCATTCTTCCCTTAGTTTTTATATATTTTCAAAAACCTTTATTTTTTTATTTTTACCATTGCTTTTATATGATTTCTCGTTTATTATACTTTTACAATTTTAAATTGAAAAAATAAAAATTTTTTTTATAATTTACTTTTATAATTTCGTTCACATTCAAACTCTTTTTCCTTTTTTTTTTTTTTTTTCACGAATGAAATCCTCTGCTCATCTAACAATTTACTGTTCTTCACAACTTTCCCGTCGTATAAGCCTAGGGTGGTTATTGGTTGATTGTTGGGTTTTTTTTACAAACATTACAAACATATTATTAAAAAAGAGTTACGAAATATAGATATCCCGAATTTTTACAACTTTTTTTTTTTTGCGCGTATTAATTATAATTAATTTGTTTGAAATCGGCTTTCCGATGAAAATAATACTATATTTTAATGTTACAAAGAAAAAAAACCACTAAACGTATTTTGACGTTTACATATAAAAATATAATAAATCGTTGGAACCACTACCGTACGCTTATATTAATACTTATATTATAACATGTTGTATTTAATATTGTTACAATATTATAATATTTGTACTAATGTAAAATGTAAAATATTTTCTTTTAAATAGTAGTTCCGTATATTTTATAGACATAAGAATTCAAAACTATTTCAGTATTATCAAATAGCTTAAATACATTACTGTTATTGCCATTATTATTGTTTTGACATTCCCAAGGACGGTATTATTGTTTGAAATACCTCCCTCCATTGATGATATTCTAAATTTATTAAATCGTTACCAGCGATAAAGTTATGTATATATTTTTATATTTTCATCTAGTGTATGCATTATTTTAAATATCATAATTTTTAATGATAAGTGTTGTTACAATTCATATTTTAATATGTATTATATAATAATATTTGAATTCTAA